ACAAAAAACTTGGAGGAATAAATTTGGTTCATGTTCCAAGAAGGCTTTAATTAATATCAATATGAGCAAGAATATTAGTATAATGTTATTCATGAGTGACCTCCTAAATATAGACACGTGACAGAAAAGGTCAAACAACCCAATCTTTATAGTGGAATTGTGCACAATAAAAGGATTTTGATCATTGTAACACCAGCTTAGTTGTTTTTGATGAACAGGCAGTCCAGTTTAAATGCATCTTATGTTTATTAAAATTTACTACTATGTGGTCACTATTGCACTTCCTCATATCCAGACCCCCAGTCCAGATAACATCTGAAGTGACTGATGTGGCAGCATTTTTTTCCCATCTTTAACTGGCTATTCCATGATAATAAAGCAGACTCAAGAAGCACAAAAGATGAAGTAGACAGTAGATGATCTCAATCATAAATGATACGATGCATAACCAACTATTTATCTATAAGTTGCACATTTCTGGTAGGAGCTCTATGGAATAAACATAAATCATAATAATTGGAGAACAATAATAAAAAGACAAGGAACAAAACTTAGGCTGATGAAGCCAGTGCAGTATGAATAAAAATGCTTACTATCTTTTCTTCTGATAGTTATGGAAAAACATCATTAAAGAAAAGGGGAAAGAGCATGCAAAAAAAGGAAATTTTTATTGAGAAAAATGAGTCATAAAAAAGCTAAACAACAAGGGAGAAAAACTGCAATTATGCATTGATTACTTTCTTGTAACCTAAGATGGAGAAATATGTTGATTTTTTTATCAGCACATAGACTGAATTATCACAGTTTGAAGTTAAAATATGTAATAATGTTAAGATCTAAGTGAATATCCATTTCATCATTTCCATGTACTTAATCACAGAACCTCAAACCTTTTGGCACAGGCACCTCTCAAAAAGAAACATTGGGAGAGGAATGGCTACAAAAACTAAATACAATTTATTTCACCACTGGAGTTCATAGTTGTAAACAAAGCCAGACTTCAGTGAGAATAACGGTTTTAAATAGGTGAAGTAGAAATTATGACCCAAAAACTTTGATCAAGAAACAACATTCAGTAAAGTGAGAACATACAAAATATTTGGCATAAACAATGTACTGCTCACCAGCAGAACAAAGACCTAGAGCAAGAAGTTCCTCCAATGTGGTTGGTATCATAGGTGTTAGAAGGGAAGCAGATAGACCAACTTCTCTAAATCCTCCAAAGATTCCCAAAACTAGATATTTCAAAAAAAAAAAAAAAAAGAAAGAAAAGAAAAGAAAACTTATGCAACCATTACTTAAAGCAAAAATGACAGAATATAGGTTAGTGTTGGGGCATGGATTGGGAGGTAGGAGGGAAAAACTCAAACTGATAGGAAAATCAAATCAACTGGTTAGATCCACATTTCTCCCAGAAATAGTTGTCTCACATAGTTGCATGCCGAGAAGGAAGGTACATTGTTCTTAATGTCAATGGTTCCAATTTTTTAGCATCCTAGGATATAAAACAATCAATGTGGATCCATAAATTGTTAATTTGTTATATTCAATTTTTCTCTCTAGAGCGAATTATAGATTCTACAACTGATTAACAGTTTTAGTAACTTACACATTGATTGTTCATCTTCATTGAAGTTATTTATTACTTCATAAATTTCTTGCTCAAAAAGCTCTATTGCAGCACTAGCATTGAAGTTCTTTATTACTTTCAATCTGAACTCCTATCTTTTTTTTTTCTATCTTTTCTTCATATATTCATAAGTCTCCAAGACTCCAACTGCGCTTGGTTGTGTGGGTAGACAAATGAAGGCCATATTTTCTAAATAGATTCCTTGTATAGCCTACCTTTGTGAGCATTATTCAAGTGCAAGTGTGCAGCCATGTCAAATATTCCATAAGTGTTTCCTAGATTCCAAAACAATATATAAGCAAAACTAATACATAAAAATTCAGACCAACCAGATGTACGAAAAATCCATTTCAAATACACCAAATGAGTATATTAATGAGAATATCTCTGAGGATAAGGGAAAGTTGTCTGGGGGCCAATACCATTGGCATCAGTGTAGACCATTTGGACAGAAATAAGTGCTCAGGTATTCAATAATATCACCATGGTGGAGGATTCTATTGCCAAGGTTCATAGGTTCATTGGAGCAGAATATATTCATGGGTGGCAGTGCACAGGGCTTTTAGGTTGTTTCACATAGTGTTTATCTCGAGATGGTTTCTTTTTTGTTTTTGTAATTAGTATAAAATAGCAAGATGTACAGCATGATTGTATAACGCATCACAGCTCCTTGCTGTGGTAGGGAGATGTTTCCATAGTGCTTATTTTGAGTTTTTTTTTTTTTTTAATTAGTATACAATGGCAAGATATACAGCATGATTGTATAGTGCATCACAGCTCCTTGCTGTGGTGGGGAGAGTTGCTTGTGGTTCTTTCTTTAATATTATACTTTACCTTTATCAAAGAAAATATATATTGTGAAGGAGATGTAAGAGAATACTATGGAAATGATGGAAATAAAATTTATGAAATCTGAATTTAATAGTAGACAGTTGATAGGAGCTGGACTATCAAAGCAGCCAACAATGTAGCTGACTCACTTGCAAGGAGTAAATACAGAAATTTTGGTATCAGTTGCTAGCCTAATCATTGTATAAGTTGTATCATATTTGTGCAGATTTGTTTTTCTTAATGAAAGTTGCTGTTACCTAGCAGCTTACCAGTGATAACGTCTGTCTCCTCTAAGACACTTTCACTTTCTATCTCAAATGCATACTCCTTTACACTATTAACTATTTCAGTAGTTGGCGTTAAACCCTTATTGGTGGATTTGCAATCTTATCTAAAAAGCATGTTGCAAGAAGATAGTAGCCACTCTTTAATTCCAATTGGTGTTCTAAGTTTAAACATCATTCATAGGAAGACACATATATAGAACATAATAACCCAACAATAGAAAGAATGGACCAAGAGCTTTTAATGGGCCAAAAAGGAGAGGAGATGACTGTGGAGGAAGGAATACACTTATCAAGAGTGTTCTGTTCAGTGCCAGCAATTGCAGAAAAATAGGTGGAGATGATAGAATGAGTTTTTTTTTCTTCTTTTTTTTTTTTTTGTGAGAAGGGGGAGGGGAGAGAAGAAGAATTTTCATTTAGTGAAATGGGAATTGATATGTAAACCAAAAGCTTCTGAACCATAAGGTAAATGAACAAAACATTACGAAGGAAATGAATGTGGCATTTGGGTAGAAGAAGAGATTTTGTGAGGAGGTTGGTGGCTGAAAAATATGGCATATAATTTGGGATATGACTGTAGTCAAATTACAACTGTATATAGGATTGTTATATGGAAAATGATTATGGCATACTATGTTTTTACAGCCAAGGTTCCGGTTTTAGCTTCTAAGATCTAGTTCCAGGCTCACCATGATTAAAAGTTGATTTAGGAAAGACAGCTATGCTACCTAAAATTTATGCAAGATGCACTGGAAAATTATTACTCACTTAATGGAATTTTGGAAGAACTGAAAGTATGAGAGGTTGCTTGAATTATCAGACAGAAAGATCAAAGGCATTGAACTGATTAGTAAGTTGCATAAAAAAAATGTCAGACCAACAGTAACAAATAAATGGAAATTTCTTTCCAGTACAAAATCCACTATTTTTCTAATTTGTACAAAAGAATTAGTAAAATAAACTTGTTTTTAATAATGAGCTAGTACCAATATGCATCCCTTCAACCAGAGTTTTGAATGTCAACACACAATTGAAATAATATCTCATCTAGTTGACAAGCAGCATCAGCAAAGAAGACCCCCCCCCATCAATTATCAAAAAAAAAGACCCCCCTCCATCTGCAATGCAAGGGAAATATGAGAATGTTGAGTATCAATTACATGAGTAAGTAATCTTTTGTATCATTTGAAGAAAAACTGTACCTACCAAGCAAATAAAGGATCACCAACAGTGTGAATTTGTGTATAGTATAGTAGCAATAGTTTTTAGTAACACCAAAGTCTCTGTTTTTAATGAAGTGTTTTTCTTTATCCTCCAATTCAATTAAGTCAGCAAATCCTTATTTGCTCGTTAAATTCTGCCTTCGTATGTTGGAATTTGGAGGTTCATCTAGTGTTCTTTTATTTGTTGCATATAGTATAAATGGTTTGCGCAGAATTGGCATTAGATCACATATTAAGATGAATCAAGGAAATGGTTATTTGGGAGGTGGGAAACATCCCTCTAGAGTGTGAACTGTCGTGGAGAGGGCTACCTGCTGCTAAAGTGAGACTGCCCAGTGTGAGGCAGTTGAGAAATCGGCTGTGGAAGTGTGGTGGTATAACTGTCCTAAAGTTTAAAACAGCCTGAAATAGAGTGAGATGGGAAGCCACTGCCGCTAGAGTGAGAGCTGCCCAGTGTGAAGCACAAAGATGTTGGCTGCAGAAGCATGGTCCTAAAGGTTAAACAGCTTGGCTTGACATGTTTCAATCAGGTCGGAATGGCCAGTCCAACCTGAGAAAACCACAATGGTGGATCACTGAAAAGTCTGAATTCAAAATGGTCAGCTGCCTCCAACTGCCACTGTCAAATTTGATCCTGTAATGTAGAACCTTTTGCAATGGATGGTCCAGTTAGCATATCGATTGTGGAGGGTTGAGATCCACGTCACAAAATCCATCAATTAGAACTTGTTAATGTGAGGCCAACTCTCAGTTAAAACTTGTGAATGAGATTGACATTAAGTGGACATGAAAATTATACGAGGCCAATTTGAAAGTCAGCAGCTCTTCGAGATTGTGGCTATTTTACCTGAGAGATTATGGTACAACGTTTGGTTGAATAACTGTACGTAAACAGGGGAGCAAGGATTGGATTGATCTCTGTAATTCCAAAGAATAGTTCCTGACATTGGCCATAGCAGGGCAACAAGAGAACTCTGGAAGTAGAAGAAATTTAAAAAGAGCATTTTGCTCTTAATACAATGAAACCAATTATTAATTAATTCCATTGTTAGAAGGGCAAACTTGTAATAATTATTAAATAATTAATTAATGATGCTATACCTCAAACTTTTACATCAAAATGGAACAAATCAAATATGGACATCGAGGAAATATCTTGCTTGAAATCATTTAACAATCAAATGTGGAATGATTTAACGGGGGGTTCCAATCAAATTCTCCACTCAGAATCTCATTGGTGTAGAAGGTGGTCGTTGTTTTAATCCGCTCATTAGTACACCATTCTTTTGTGCTGACATCCTGCTCTTCAATGGAGACACGAATCTGTTGGCCAGCCTCGATGGTGAGAATGACCTTCGCAGCTTAGACACCGTCGAGACCTTTGGTGATGACATCTTGCCAAGACTGGTGGATCTTACAGGAGACAGAGAAATGGGCATATTCTTTACCTTGACAGGAGATTTGATCAAGAATTTATGTGGAGTTTGCCGGGTTCTAGCTATCACAGGAGACCTTGTTTTGCAGAATTTGCGCTGTTTGGACGTCGGAGAAGATAGAAATAGTGGGTTTGGAAAGAGAACAGTCTTTTTGGCCCAAGGTCTGTTCTTGGGAGATAGCCGGTGGGCAATGTGCCAATTTTCTTTCCCCACTTCTCTTCTGCTTGGAGGTGAAGAAACTTTGAAATTGATACGTGATCGAGCCCTCCGAGGGCCTGGGGTATTCACTTCTGACCGGATTGACTGTAGAGCGGTTTGCTTCTCTTTCTTCCTCCGAGTCCGGAGCTCCATGCTTTCAGGATGTGATCTCTGGGGGTTTCTTCGGTCGGTTACAGGAGTTTTGGGATCATCAGAGGCAGTTTGCTTGTTATGAGTAGCAACAGCTGAGACTACTTCCCTTGCAAATCGACTTGCCTGCAGGATCTCCCCGACTGTCTCTTGGACCAGCATTGCGGGCAATGACATCCGGCGCCATTCCCCTGTTACAGAGCTTCCAATCATTTAACAATGGAAAACGTCCCAGTGAAATAAAGAAAAACCCCATTTTCCAGAGGAACAGAAATCCATGGAACACTACTCACATCCATGCAAGGAGAAAATTAATGAAATCATTTTAAACAAACACGAGTCTAATGATGTTCTAATAGAAGATGCAGGCTTTCTAGTAGAACCCTATTGCAGTCAGTACAACAGGAGAAGATGCATACAAATGGAACAGGAAAATGAAAGATTTCTCTGCAACAACTATATCAGCTAAAACACGGGCAGATCTTATCTGGGTCGTACCTATAGTACTTCCTTGAAATTTTCCCACCGGAGATTTTCGAGCAGCACCGTTCTTTAACCTTCACAGAGACGCAAATGGGAGAAGAAAATAAAAATCACCATTAGAGAAACAGAGATTGGAGACGCACAAGAGGAGGAAGGGGGACTGAAAATCTGCAAATTTCCCCCACCTAAGAAGTAAAACTCATCTCTAGCTAAGAAGCTTTCAAAAACAGAATATTCCTCTCATACCTCAGAGACTCTTGCTTGCATCTAAGACTGGTCTTCAGGTACCCCCTTGTACTGCGAGGACTGAGGCTTACCCCAGAGATCACTTTAGTTCCGCCTGAAACCGTGTATTGGAGTTCCTGAAGTCGGGCCATGCATTGATCCACCTTCAGAAAGAGAGCAACAAAGAAATGAATCATGGTTAGAGGATCAGAGACAGAAGAGTGAAATCAAATGCCGTTACGAACGACTAACCAAAAACTTATCCCGGGTCGTCTTACCTTTCTTACTATTTCTCTCAAGGGTTTTGGATTCAGAGGAGCTGCCATTTTTGTCTGCTTCGTGGGGGTTTTCGCCACCATTTTGTTCAGAAACCAGAAGAAGGGTTCTTCTCAGGAATCTGCTCTCTCTCTCTCTCTCACACACACACAGATAATCTATCTCCGAGCTGAAATGTCAAACATGAGTCACAAGACTCACAACAACGGAAACCAAGGGTAACGTTTCTTTAATTTCAACGGTCACATAAGACATCTACAAAGAACGTATACAACGGCTATTTCGTTTAACTCGCTTCTTTTTGGGAAAGTTGCTTTTTTCAAACGCAAATGGGCTGCAACCTGCAACAATTCCTACACTTCCGGCCCGAATCTCACAAGAGTTAAGTTTTAGTTCGAGCTGGGTTTGGGTTGGGCAGATCTGATTTAAGGGCTTGGGCCTTAGCCTTATGCCCAAGTCGGGTTTGGATATAGGTTGACCTTAAACGCGGCCCAACCTGCCCAAATTGCACTTCTTTCTACATGTGACAAATTGTTTAAAGGCAATGGCCAAGAAATATATCAATGCCAATACCAATTTGGGTTCTTTCGTCCCCAACCCAAGCTTTTTTTTTTATTAAGATTGAGTATTTACTAGGGCATTTAATGGAGCTGATCTGGGCTCATGACCAACAATTGCTTTGGTGATTAAATCATGATTCCAAATTATGGTGTATTCCGAAATTTGTACATTACATTCAGAAATTTAATTAATTGTGTTAAATTATGGCGTATTTCAAAATCATTGGTTTATCTTTTATAAGATCTATTTGATGATGTTCGATCCGAGGTGTTCTGTAGGGCTGTTTATAAGAAGACCCAAACTAACTAAACCAACCAACCCGGTCCGACCTAACTTGAGTCGGTCTGTTTCAGGTTACTAAAAAGCATAAACCGGTGGGTCGGTTCAGTTTCGGTTTCCACACATGAAAACCGAAACTGAACTGACTTAGTTCCTAGTTAGCACTTAGTAGTTAGTACCTAACTTAGTTTCTACTTTCTAGTTACTTATAGTTTCTATTTTCTAGTTACTTATAGTTTCTACTTTCTAGTCTTCTCTTTAGGAATGTCATTAATGGCAAGCATCGCAAGACAAGGACTGCCATTAATGCCATTAATAACTTCTTACATTTTTTGGAAGGTTTAAAGAAAGGATCCTATTCTCTGAGGTCCTTTACACCAAATAGATAATTACAATTAGGTGTGTTTTTTACTTAGATTAGAAGCCTTCTTAAAAATTCCAAATTTCAGTCTTCTTTTTCTAACACAATTTGACTTTCTTTTGTCTTGGTAACTTCTAACTTGGTCCGCCCTTACTCCTTTATCCCCTCAACTCAATCACTCAAACCGATCCAAACCGACTCAAACCGACCAGGTCGGTTTTGCCTAACATAGGATCGGTTTCGATTTCATTTTCAGGCAACCCGACCTGTGAACAGCCCTAGTATTCTAAACCGAGGTCACAATCAGATAATCCTGCCAATTGGACGGAGTCAAGGTGGAAGTATGAAGTCACGCAACAAGATCTGAAACCTAGAACAGAGTTAGAGGCCTGAGGAGTTATTCCCCGGGTAGCACTCTGATGCTCAAGTCAATGAGAAGAATGGGTAATCGGGCCGAGCAATTGAGAGAACAATGCTAGTTCGAGCAAAGTAACAGTATGGATGCTAGAAAGTCAAAGTTCTTTACTCGAGTGGGGATTACCTACTTATAACCGAAGATCTATGTCCGATTCGGATGAGGCTTCTGGGGTTGTTGGGATGAGGTTGTCCGTCGAGGCCTTCAGGTTAAGACCTAATCCCCGGTGAAGTTATCCTCCTTATTTGTACGACGCTCTCCTATCTTGGTCACGCTTATCCAATGTTGTGGTGCCGACATTGCCGAAGTGATAAGGCGATTGCAAAACTGACATGTGGCACCTGGGGCCAGCTCAACCATAACCCAAACAATATTTATCATTAATAAAATTAAGGGTAATATTGTGACACAACACTTTGAGTTATATTGCAACAATTTCCATAGAATATACCATAAATCATTCATTTATGAAGAAAAATCAATAGGACTAACCCAACAATATCTTATTTTTTTTGTAAATGATAGCTTAATTAGTATGAAAAGGATCTCCGAATTACCAAAAGCAATAGGTTTTTTAAGGGCTTCACCTTAAGGCCCCATTCGCTTTTCGGTAAGTTACTTATCCGAGTAAATGCACTATGGGTAAGTGCATTTACCCATTTTCTTTTATTTCCCAAGTAAATAAAGCAATGACAGTTTTAGCCATAAAAAACCATTATTAAAATGGGCATTTTTGTTTCATTCTAGTGTTGGCAACTCCTCCCCCCAAGTGAGAAAGTTATTTACCCACCTAAGAGATGGGTATCACTTATCCTTGGTCCCCACATAAATCTGAAAAAAAAAAGAAAGAAAAAAAGAACATGGGTTTCATGGTCAATAGGAACCAAAATCCCATTGACCAACTCCAACTTTCCCCCTACTCAAAATCCAAAAGAAGAATGCCCCTTAAATGGGTTGATACTCTAGGCGTTCAACATTGCCTTACTAAAGTAGCATGGCAACTGTTAACACAAATTTTGTGCTAAGTTTGGAGCACAAAAAAATGTGGACAAATTCAAAGAAATTTTTTTTTTTCGTAGAAATGTAAGTGGGATACAAACTCTTTTTTTTTGGCAAAGAAAACCCTCTGATTCTCTTGTCATGAACACAACCCAAACTTGTACGTGTAGCTTGTCACGGACACAATCTGAAAAACTTGACAACTTGTAGTTGTAGAAAAATCTTGTAGTGATCAATTGTATGCACACAAGATAGGAGAATTTTTTTTCTTTTATTGGTTGTAGTAATTTGATGAAGCTTTTGATTGCAGCAACTCAAAGGCTAGAATCCTTTAACTGACATTGCACGGAGCTGTAACGGTTTCAAAGCTTCAATGGTTGAGGAGCCGAAATTCTGATTCTTCTTCCCTTGATCTTGGTGCAGCCCGTCTCTTCTTCTTCTTTGTCAAAAGCAACGAAAATAAATGAGAGGAATTGGATAGCCGAAAGGGAGCTCCAAGGGAGAGAGCCGAAGGAGGGCTAGAGCTTCCTCTTGTTTTCTCCTCTATTTATAGAGGTTCACCCTTAGTCGATGAACTGGTCCAAAAGATTTAAATTGATTTGAATCCACCAATCATTGTTGCAATTCAATGCTAATTGACATGGAACCCACAAATTGATTTGAAAGGGATTCTCTTAATTATAATTTTGTATTATTTGGGAAAATTGGCTGATTTGAGATCTCCAATTGACAGATTGGTGATCTTTGTATAAATAAGATTGACTGAAAGAGGTTTGTAAATGTGCCACTTGTTAAGAAATTAGGGCCCACGTAAGAAAGGAAATCCATTAATTGAATTAAGCTAATCCTCCTTGAATCAGCCAATCAAATTTTCCTTTTAACCAAATTGTTAATTAGGCATGGTTGCCAATCAATTGGGCCCCACTAAAATTGACTAGAGAAAATCTCTCTAATTGATTTGAGAGTTTAAGAAGATCTTTCTAATTGCCATGAATGGTGGGGTTTGTCTCAATATTCAATCCTCTATGTGGTAGGTGTGGGTCCTACCTAACACGCTCTTGGGTTTGGATCACCATGATGAAGATGCTGGGACAACTAGCACATACCCCCCAAGTCACTCGCCCTACCGCGTAAGCGCCTACCACGGTCGATCCTCGCATCAAGGACTCTAAAAGGTGCCGTGCAGACAAGCATAAGGCTCAATTTGACTGTGAGCGACCATAGTCATTTAGAATATCTGACTCCTTAGCCCGGCCTCGCACGCACGACGCCTACAGTAGATCCCATCACTCCGCTCGAGTGTCGGTTAAAGAACAACTTGACCAACGTCAGCAGCAACTAGGGGTGCCGATTGGACTAGATTTGGTCCAATCCGATCCAATCCAATGTGAGTCCATTACAAATGGACCAAGTCTATTCCAATCCAATGAATAATTTAGATTGGTTTCAACTCAAACTTAGTCCATTGGCACCTATTTTCTTATCTTATATCAATGGACCGAATATTGGCTTAACCCAACCAAATCCAATAAAAATTTATTATGGACGAACCTAGTCCAGTCCAATCTAATAAATATTTTGGATTGGATTGGTCCAATCCACTGTCTTTTTGGTCTGTCCAATCTGTTCAAATTGATTTTGGATTGGATGGGGTCYAGTCCAATACCAGTCCATTGACACCCTTAGCAACAACCACCGATCTCGACAGCAGAATCCAACTCAATTAGAGATCGGCCTGCGATCCCGAAAGAGGAAAAGTTCATAAACGTGGCCCTAGCCGATAGAGACGTTGCGATCAGATAACTGAGAGAGTGGCTGATCGAACTAGAGCACAACCAAGTGGATAGAAGCACAACCCCCCCAATAGCTCGACCAACAAAGCAACGTCACAATCAGCAGTCCGCCAAAGTGCTCATCTTCGTCCAAGAGATTGTCGACGAAATTCCCCTAGCTAGATGGCGACCTCCTTAGTTCGAGAAGTATGATGGGGCCTCGGACCTAAACAATCATATTGAAGGGTTCAAGGTGATAATGATGTTGCACGGCTCCTATGAGGGCCTCATGTGCAAGGCCTTTGTCGCCACCCTCCACAGAGTCCCCAGAACCTGGTATGCCTCCCATTCGTCATGGTCCATATCCTCCTAGGAATAGCTAGAGACACAGTTCTTGGCATAGTTCACCACCAGCCAAAGGCACTGGAAGATGTCAACCAGCCTCATGCAAGTATGACAGAGGGAAGGAGAGACCCTGAGGGAATACTTGGCGAGGTTCAACGCCGAGGCCCTTCAAGTCCGGACTGTAGACCAGTCAGTAGTTGTGACCACCATCATGACTGGGTTGCTCTCCTCAATGTTCAACTTCTCATTGCAAAAGAACCCTCTGCCCAACCTAACTGCACTCATGAAGCATACACAGAAGTATATGAACACCGAAGAGGCCCAAGTGTTGCGTAGGGAGGATGAAGACCAGTACGACCAGAAGAGCCAAGACCACGACGGTCGAAAACCAGACTAAGACGCTAGAAGGTAGGATCGCCAACCTGATCGTAGACTGAGGACCCCACCGCTGACATATCACAACTTCACTCCACTCAATTCTCTGCAAGTCTACA